GGGCTCGGGTGGGTGTTTCTGAGGATGAGTTTCCCCTCGGCTTCTAGCGGTATTTGTTTTTGTGTTCTTGCCCTCTCTTTTGGCACCTTCTGATACCCTGGGGGCTGTGCAGCTCCGATGGCCCGGCTGCGGTGCGGGAAATCGGGGTTGCCTTGTCCCCGTGTTGCACTTAGAGCCTGGAGATGGGCGCCAGATTTTGTACTCACATGCTTCCTTGTAAATAAATATTCAGTAGTGCAACTGAAAGGAATGGCACGGTACCAGAGGTTTACCGGCAGTCTGGATGAAAGCCCATCAGTCTTTTTGGCACAGCAGGCTTTTTTTTGTTTGTTTCTTGCTTTAGAGCCCTAACGTGGGAGAGAGTGAGTTCCAGTGGCTGTGCTGCATCTGATCAGTGCGTTCTGCACCCCTTGCTCGTTTGCTTTAGTGGCTGGTTACTGCAGACAGTGACCAGTGTGTGTGTTGCACTGTGAGTTGTTCCAGCTAAAAGCAATGTCCCATTTGCAAAGTACGAGTACGACCTCTCTCCCTGCCCTGATCTAATGTTCTGCTGGTATAGTAGCGTGCTTTGCCGATCACTCAGCTGTGATCCTGTTTCACCTGTTTCCCATGCCCATCTGTGTGCTAATACATGTGCTGGTGTTAGGGGCATTTTGCATGCAGTTTCTGTGCTGATTTGCCCTGATGTGAACACGGTCACGCCAATACAACGGTGCCTGTCTCCATAGGTGCGTTTTTTTAAAGCAAAAACTGAGTAGAGCAGCTTGTATCATTGTGCAGCTCCAGGTCAGCAGAGCCTTAATCATCTGCTTAATATTAAGCGTGTAAATACTCACATGAAATCTAGCAGAGCAAATTCTCAAAGCTGAGAATACGCTGGGAGATCATCCAGCAGCAGGAGCTGGGGGTGATAACACTCCTTTCCCGACCAAGGCTCCAGCAGTGGGCGAGGCATCAGAAAGGCGTGCTGCCAGCACCCAGCAGCAACAAGCCCCCGAGCGCCCAGGCTGTCTGTTCCCTGGAAGCAGCAACTGCGAGGAACAGAAAGCAAATAGCTCTGGAACATTTAAAATCGTGATGATATTTGCAACTCACTGTCATGCATGAAGTGTGACCACAAAGAGGAACCTCTTCTGTCTCATTTGTGTTCAGATGGTGGGAATTACTGACACAGAGGAGCTTCCGTTTTTTATTCCATTGTGTTGTTTCTCTGAATCAACACCAAGAGGACAAAATCGTGTCCCAGGTTGTCAGCCTGGTACTTTGTCACTACAAGAGAGTTAACTTGGTTGATTTTTCTGTCCAGAGAGCACCACCATCCAGGTTGAACGGGTACTCTGAGAGCTGTAAAGCAGCGAGGCACGTTGCAGTGGCGTGGTGGGAACAGAGCTCGTGTTGTAGCCTCCTGGCCAAGTGGGATGGACTCCTGTGAGGAGCTGTTGGGCGTGTGGAGGCGGAGGAGTAGCCAGCACAGTGCTCTCTCCACATTCCTCTCCGTGTAGCTAAACCAGAGCCTGAGTCAGCGAAGCCACGCTCGCAGGAGTGCGAGCCCGGCTCTGTGGTTGTGGCCAGGGCTGGGCAGCACAATGTATGTTTTTAAGCCCTGCCTCTGCCCATGGCTTCCTGTCCCAAGCAAACCATTTCATCTCTCTTCATCGTGGTTCCTTACCTCATAAAGGAAGGAAATGGACAGCGTTAATTTCGTAGCGCGTGTGCCACACGTGGAGGGAATTCACTGGAAAAAAACACCTGTGGGCCATCTCTCACAGGTCCCCAAAAGCGAACTGTGAAAAGCAAATCCACAGGTCTGACCAGCTAAGTCTGCAGTTTCGATGGAAACCATGAACAGATCCCACAAAGAAAAAAAAAAAGAAAAAAAAGGAAATTGCTGCTTTTAAGATGAGGAGATGAATGGTTTGCAAAGTATGTTTCTTAGAGTTCAAAATGAATAACTGTGTTTGAACTGAATAGGCTGACATCAGAATTAAGGCTTTAGCCCATGTCTGAGTGCCATAATGCCACAGAAACTCACATGCCAACATGCTGTAGTGATTTGTGTCTCTTCAACCAATCTAAAGCATCCAGAGTTGGATCCCGCTCTCCAGCCTCAACTTCAAGAGCACCTCCCAGCACAGCCTTCATCCCCGGTCTAGTGGCAGGGATGAGGCAGCCCAGCACCCGTCTTCGTTAGGACCCTCAGCCACCATCCTCTGCCACCCCTGGGAAGTTCTCTCACAAGAACAATACTCGTAACGGGACGTGGTCGTCTGCTCCAGTTGCACGGGGAGGACTCAGCACAGGGTTACACTGAAACATGAGATCCCAGTTGTCTCAGACCTTGTTTGCATTGGCTGCAGCTGTTTTCTCTGAGAAATTTCACTCCAATTTCTAGCTTCACAATTTGACTTTAACACATTTTGCAGCACTGAAAAGGCCTGGATACAAGAGCTGTCAGCCCTCTCCCAGGCTGATTTCTGTGGATCCCATTTCGCTGCAGAGTTTTGTTTTTCTTTCATTCTTGGCTCTATCACAGCTTTCTCTGACTGTGTGCTTCCCCACGTTCACCCCCAATTTTGGACAGGGCAGTAGCCCACAGGCAACAGGAGAGATGACCAGCGCAGGAGGGGAATGACTGACTTAGCAGGCTTGAGGACTTCACATTCATTTCATAGTGGTGCTCCACCACAAGGCTCTTCTTAGCAATCTGGAGAGGAGGACCTCATTTTTTTTGTGGCTCTATAGATCAGTGGCTTGGTTTACTCCAGCCAGTGCTACATCCCTGCAGTACGAGAGGCTCTGCAGACCAGGACGCTGCAAGCCTGGGTGTGCTGGTGTCAGGGACTCTGCACGTGGGGTTAAAGTTGAGGGGTGGGGAGGAATAACCGAGCAGTTCTGTACAGCTGTGAAAGCACAGGGAAACCCAACCTGTGTTTTTTGCTAATATTTGAGGACAACTGGGAGTCCCACAGAGGAAACATTTAGTTCTTATTTTTCCTGGTTTTATATTTACGCAGCTAATCGCTGAGTAACATTCTTCTCTCCAGGGTACTAGGCAGCCCTCTCTGAGCCTCTCAGCTCCCCTTTCCCACACAGCAAGTCCTGCTACATCTGTTTACAAAGAGGGAAATCAAGGTGCCTGAAGAGCTTCTCCCACGTTCTCTAAAGCAGCCAGTGATCCTGTGGATCTTTAGTCGTCACCTGGGACCTAATATTTGAAAGCCACCATCCAAAGCCAGAGGTGATGGAGGGTGTGAGGACTTGGCCTCAGGTGTCTCGGCAGGGGATGAGACACAGAGAATTCACAAACACTTTGGCATTAGTGACTGCCCCGGGACACAGCAGCATCAGCTCAGCCAAACCCAGGAATACAATCTGAACTGGACAAACTGGATGATCTTTACTGTTTGTCTTCTGGAGCTTGCTGACTTGAGGAGTTATTTAAAGTAAATGCTCTCCTGGCTTTAGTAGCTTTTTATTGCCATTCTCTAATTTCCTATTAGCACAAGGGTGTGCACAGTGAAGAGCAGCTTTTGCTATGAGATCTGTCATGTTTTGCCACAGATAACTGTCTGAGGAAACCTTGGTGTAACCCCAGCTCATTCTTTTCTCCTCTCCAGGGCATCTGTGACCAGGAGGACCTTTGGGCATAGTGGCATTGCTGTGCATACATGGTACGCCTGTCCAGCACTAATAAAGTCTATCTGGGCTATGGCCATTAGTCAGCATCAGTTCTACCTGGACAGAAAGCAAAGCAAGGTAAGCAGGTTGGACGTGGGAAGTGCATGTTGTGTTGGGTAAGTCCTCCTCACTCTCTCCAGTCCCAGCAAGGTCAAGTCGAGCTGGTGGCTCCTTCCTTGCCCTCATTTTCCACTTGAGATGACAAAAAAGGCAAATTGACTCAAAATACCTGCTGACTTTGGCCAGATTGAGAGTATTCGTATCAAAGTCGTGTCTATATGAGTGAGGATTGAGGTAAAGGTTGACTGAGCTGTGGTCAGATTGAAGGAGACAAAGTTTGCAAGCAGATAGGGTTGTGTCCGTGTCTGGATGGTTTCTGTATGTCTTGAGCTCTGTCAGAAAGTTAGAGCAGCTTCCAATAACTCACTTTAAAGTAGCTTCACACTCTACACTTGTTTCTGAATCCTTCTTACTGTCCCTTACTTTTTACTATTGTGTTTTCCCAGATATTAGGGTTAGGGATGTTATTCCTCTCTCCACAGAATCTCACAAGAGGAGGAGGGGGGCAGAGTGTTGTCATCCTGGCTTTATAAGGATCTGTCTTGATTTGATGCTGCACAAAGGATGCTCAATACAGAAAAGAAACCACCTTGAAACCAGAGGGGTGTGTGTTTCCCCTCTAATTGCTTTCATCAACAGTAATTTCGGGCATACCAAGAGCAGCAGGAGATCGCTTTGATCACTTTGAGATCACTTTGAGACAGGAGAGAGAGACTCCTCAGGCAGACTCCCCTCTCCATATGAGCATGCTGGTGTAAAACGTTACAGAGAAGACAGAATCTGTATTGAGTGGGTACCTTCCCGTACAGCTGCCCTGCATTGCCCCCATCTCTGTTGAAGTGGGAGGAATGTGCAGGGCCCTTCTCCTCCAAATGGTTGAAACAATCTTCTCATTATTATAAAAAGTACTACTGCCTGCATTTTCAGGCTGAGGCTGCTCCCTCCCTTGCACAAGCTCTGGCCCTGCATCAGGTCCCTCCATGAACCAGTTCAGCCCACTAAATGGGCAGAAAAATGCTTCTTTTTTCCTGTTTTTCTGTGCTGCATTATTGTTCTGCCGGTTAAACGAATTGAATTGGCTTGCTGCAATTATGTGAAGCGCCGTCAGTGTGTCATTGGTCCAGCTCACTCTGAATCCTTCTGGCATTGCTTTCCCCTTCATGATATCTCTGGCTTTATTGTAGAGTGAGCAGGACTTTCGTATGCCTTGGGCAGAATACATGGCTATGCTCACTTTGGTGATGTCCCATCTGATGCAAAAAAAGCAGGATTCATCTTAGTTACTGTGAGCTGTATTGAATTTAGGGGCATAGCTAACTTCCCACCCCCTGCCTAAGTGCCAGCTGCGAATGTGGACAAAATTGCACGCTCACCCGATACCAGGTAATGTTTTCCTGTCCCCCTCCTTTGCACAGCCCCACCAGAGTAATGCCTAGCCCTCTTTGTTGTGCTCTCAACAGAAAACAACTCAGTGACCAAACAGAAGTTTATTTCTTTAAAAACTTTTAGCTGATCTAGCTGCAAGGTATTTAGGTCACAAGCAACCAACAAACAAAAGGAGATTCCCTCCTCCTCCCATTTCTTTGATAAGAAACTGGGTCTCTTAAATGCCCAGGACTTCCCTTCAGTGACTTCTTTTGTTGTTGGCAGATTGTGTTTCAATCTGATCTCCCCTCTCTCACACTCCTACAGACAGCACCACCCCACCAGCCTCGTTTGTCAACCTGTCACGGCTGTGACCACGTCAGGGTGCTTTGTCACGATAATCCCGGTGGTCACGCTGAGATTTTATAGTTAAGGCGTACAAATATTTTTGTCCCTTTCTCTTAAGGGAGCTGGTATTTTACTCTGTTGTCCCTGTCATTGACGTGATGCTGTCAAAATTGATAGATCCATCAGTTTTAATTGATCTGTTCAGTTCATCCAGCTGGTTACTTCAGGACGCTGTACTCACAAGCGCGATTTTTTGAAAACCATTAAAACATATTCCAGAGTGCAGAAGTGTGAAATGTCTTTGTTTCAGCTCTGAAGGACTTAGACAAACATTTATTCGAGTTTCAGGTCGCATGGGTTTGCATCCCCTTAAAGCTCGGCACCCACTTCACTTGAAACCCCAGCTTCAAAGCAAAACTTAGCTATTCCTTCCTTTCATGTCCAAACTTGGCATTTCTTGTCGTTTTGAGAAAAGGAAGAAAAATAAAAACAAACTTAGAAGAAAAAGCCTGCTGGAGCTCACTGCAGCTGAGCCTTTAGGCCAGTGCTGTAGATCAGATGGCAGGAGGTATGGCATAGAGATAAAGCAAGCCTGAACTCCATGCTTCTCTCGTAACTGGGCACCAGTTGGATCTGGACCTTCTGCACAGCTCCACTGGCAAACCCTCTTCACATGATTTAAAAAAAGGTATAAAATCAGCTTTGCTTGGGTTTTGACCCTTTTTGCAAGGAAGCGAGGGCCCAGCCTTCTTTGCAGCCTCAACCCGCGTTGAACTCCTGCCAGCTCGCTGAGTTCCCAGCGTCTGGCTCCCCACCGATCCGTGTCTCTCTCCTTGCAACCGAAGCGTAACGTGGAGACTGAAAAGATCCCCAGCTTCCCGAGTGAACATGTCAGCATGCAGAGCTCCCGTCAGCTTCCCTTTCTTTCAGGAGACAGATGCAGCAGGACTTCAAGGCATGTCTGCTCTGTTGACTGCACTGAGTCAATCAAACATTTGGCTTAGAAGCCTTGAGAAGTCCCATTTTGTGGGAATTTCCAGCAGCACGTTCCTCTAAGAGCGAGGCTTTTTGGTTGAATGAACTGGTAGAAAATAGGCCAAGGGTTTCAAAAAATCACCTGCAGCAAAGCCCTATCACTGGAAGAGAGAGGGATATTCTCATCCCTTGTGTACCTCTCCTCCTGCATTTCACTGATGGATTTTTCTTCACCCTCTGACCCTGTCAGAACAACACCGGGGATCAGCTTGGCCCCACGCTTTGAAATGACTCATGAATGAGCCAGTCTCCCTCCATGTAAATGAGACTTGGCAGGTCTGCGCTAAGTGCTTTAAAATTTTGGAGCCTGGAGGGATTGCGGGGCCCGAGGGAGTGCTAATGGGATGTAATCTAGCTCTCTGCTATTGTGCTGTCGGTGCGGAGTCGAGCCCAGGCTGCTGCTCAGTGGCCTGTATGAAATGAGCTGTTGGTCTCCTTCCCGACGCCGATGAGCGGCTGCCCAAAGCACGGGACCACCCGACGCTGCTTGGCATGTCTGCAGGGAGCCAGCTGAGGCAGCAGGGATTGAGCAGCGTGGAAGATGAACCCCGTTCCTTTCGGGAGATGCTCCATCCCCAACATTTAGTGCATGGCACCCTTAGCACAGCTGCAGTCAGGTCTAAAACCTTCTCCTGGGGCTTTGCTGGGTTTCGATCATACCCTTCCTCTGTGGAGGAAGCTCACTCTGCCCTGCTGATCCCTTGTCTGCTCTCTTCTGGTTTGTTTTCCCTGTCTCCTGGCTTTGGTCTTGTATCGTTTTTTCATTTGCCCTATGTAGGGCACCCTTCCAGCTGCTGCTGGCTTGATGTGCCAGCCGGGACCACAAGAGCATCCAGCTGCGTTGCCTTCACTCGGCATTTTAGTTGGTGCCCAGTCAACAGGTAGAGCCAGGGTATGCCCTGATGTGCAGGCTGAATGTAAGTGGAAATAAACTACAAGGATTCTTGCTGTAACTATCCTACGAATACAAGAAAACCACAGCTTTGCAGAGTGGGAGGGCAGGATCTGTCTGTGCAGATTTGGGAGTTGTTCCTTTCCTAGACATCTGCTGTGAGGACTCGGTATGTCGGGTTTGATCAGTACAGCGTTTCCTGGGCTTACACAAGGTTTACGTAACCATGCATATATGTAGGGACATACAACATTTATACACTTGCAGGGGATAAATCGCCAGGACAGCAGCAGTCTGAAGGTTTATTACCTCCAAAATTTGATATTGCAGCAAGACAGCCGTTCATGCTCAGGCTCCTTATCAAGACTTAAGTAGCCGGAAATGTCATTAGATAAAAATGGTGACTTTTCACCTAGAACTAACCTTCCAGAGCCATTTGGAGAAGACATTTCACAGACCTCATTTCTGACCAGAAACATTGGATCCCCGAAGCTAAAAGACTGCTCTCCTCCTCCTGGGGCTGATTTTGGGGAGGAGCTGCTGGAAATAAGAAATGTCTAAGTGGTTGTAGCATTAGTTTAAGAGAGTCAGTTGTCGTTGCCTGATACGCTCTGACATCTTGCTGGGTAGTTCAGCCTCTGCACTCGAATGAATGCACACACTCTGTTCTTGATGTTGCTGTGGAAGTAACCTTTTAAGGCATTTGGATACCTCTGAATGATTATGATTGAGGCTATAAATGCCCAAGAATATTGAATTATTATAGTACTTTTGGGAATGTTTTCAGTAGGTGTCTCTCACAGTGCTGCCTTCATCTGAAATCTTAAATTAATCTTTAAAATACAAGGTGCAACAGGGAGACATTTTACTTCCCTTATTATTTCATTGATGTGCAGACAGAGGCAGGGAATGGCTAAGAACTTAACCTTAAGTGTCTTGCCCAAAGCCCCACAGCAAATCAGTAACAGAGCTAAAAGCTCGGCGTGGTGAATGTTCAGCCGACAGATCAGCCTTAGTTCTTGTTAAAACGAGTTCTGCTTCCTGAAAATGTGAAACAACACTCAAAAGTCCCATCATGGCAAGCGTTCCCTGTACTCCCGTCTCGTGAGACGAGATCACGCCCTGGTTTGTGGGCGTCCGTCAGCTTGGGGTTTATTAGCACTGTAACGATGTGCCCATCACCTGGACCATATGGCTATGAGGTTCTCTTCTGGCCTTGAGTTGCTGCAGAAGTGAATGTTTCAGTGAACTGAGCCTTCCCCATCCTGTTGAACAAAAATCTTTGTGCGGCTGGAGAGCCTCGATGCGTTGTCCTGACAGCTTTCTCAGTTCTGGGAAATAGAAATTGCAGGTCAGTGGCCCTGCTAGGCCAGGCTAATTGAAGCTCAGCAGCACAGGACTTGTGGGATTTGGGCGATGGACTGAGCCCCAGGCTCCCTCCATCCATGACTGAGGAGCTCAGATGAGGGTCAGCGAGCAAGATGCTGATTTCCAGCTCAGAGATGAAATCGCAGTCGACTTTGTGCACCGTGTTACAGACATCAAGCTTCTTCCTGGCTGTCAGTTCCTTCCTTGTTAGCATGGATTGTTACCTGAAACAAATTCTCAAAACAGAACTCAGAGCCTAAGCATTAGTTCAAAGGAGGCAGGAGGAAGTTTTCCATGTGGACAGATTATTCCGCAATGGCTTAGTGAAAAGTTAGCGTGCTTTTTTATGAAGTGCTTGAAGATGACCCCAGTCAGAAATTATATAGGGGACTAGAGAGGCTTTGAGATTGTTCTGATGTGGCAGCTGCTATTTTAGGGTCATCCTTAGCCTATACTGGTCAGAAAAAGGACCAATAATTCTTCTAGTCACCCAAGACACCCTCATTTGTAGGGTTCATCTTCTTGGTAGTGCTAGGGCTGTAACTGAACGGCCATCCCCAGCAACTCTGAGCAGTGTTCTTCATCCTCGTCTTCACAGTAGATGCTTGATAGATGCTGTGAGGAGATTGGACTGGAGATGGATTGTGAGCTACTGTCGGTAGAGTGTGTCTTGCAGAGACAAGGCAGCCACCACAAGTGAGTGAGTCCAACCCTGCTGCTTTTAGCCACCGTGTTCCTTTCATTGCTCAGTGCTGTTAATCCCTTGCCCTGAACAGTTTCTGCCTTTGTTACCTCTGTGGGCACGATGACGTCTGAGCTCACTGCCCAACAGAGTTAAGTTCTCAGGTTACCTCACCTGGACTTTCTGGGCACCTTGTTGTCTCAACTCCTTCCATAACCAATAGAGAAAGAACATAGAAGGGTGTGGCTAGTAGGTCGAGAGAAGTCCTCCTGCCCCTCTTCTCTGCTCTGGGGAGGCCACATCTGGGATCTTGTGTCCAGTTCTGGGCCCCTCAGCTCGAGATGGATGCTGCCCGCCGCAGCCACAAAGGTGATGAAGGGAGTGGAACATCTCCCTTGTGAGGAAAGGCTGAAGGAGCTGGGGCTCTTTAGCTTGGAGAAGAGGAGGCTGAGGGGTGACCTCATTCATGTTTATAGATACATAAAGGGTGAGTGTCAGGAGGACGAAGCCAGGCTCTTCTCAGTGATGTCCAGTGATAGGACAAGAGGCAATGGGTACAAGGTGGAGCATAAGAGGTTCCACCAAAACATTAGGAAAACGTTTTTTTCACTGTGAGGGTGACAGAGCCCTGGCACAGGCTGCCCAGGGAGGTTGTGGAGTCTTCTTCTCTGGAGATTTTCAAAACCCACTTGGATGAGTTCCCATGTGGCTGCCCTAGGGGATCCTGCTCTGGCAGAGGGGTTGGACTAGATGATCTTTTGAGGTCCCTTCCAACCTCAAACATCCTGTGATCTTAGGAAGTTGGCTCATTCCCTCCTAAGACAGGTTTACGCAGGGAGCACATTTACTTTCCACTGGAGGTGTCTGAGTTGTTGACACTTGGTGGTCTACAATGGGTGGCTCCTCGTCCTAGTATGGCCAGTTGCTGAGCTGGAGCTGGCTGTTTCTAACTGGAGTGATGTTAATGCTCTGAAGAAGTTCCTCACATAAGGGGCATTGCATGTGGCTTGTTAGTTTGGACCATGACCTGAACGTGATTTCCTGCCAGTTTTTTTCTTCCAGCTTCTCATGACAGCCCATTTCACCCTGTCCTCGCTGTGTCTTGGTCCAAACCTCACTGCAGATTTGGAAAGGCTCCTCTTGGCTTCCTTTAGCTGCTGGAGATGGGTTTTGCAGTTTATTATGCTGGCATTTCTGAAGGTTTCCTATTGTATGTGGTAGCTCATTGACTCCGTACATTGTTTAAGAGGCAAAAAATGTCCATCGCAAAGCAGAAAAAATAACAAACAACAGGAAGCTGTGCCAGAATTGTACCCACTTAAGAATGTAAAAAGTGCAGCAGTGAATACTGTGCCAGCTTGCTTCTATTCTTGTAAAATAATCCAAGTTTGCTGTGGAGGCCTGTTTCCTGCCACAGCAAAAGGACTTTTTCCTCTGTAAGCTTTAAAGAAGTGCTAGATCATTACTAACTCCTATGTCCATGTCCAGTCCAAGATTCATGCTGCAAGAAGCCTGAGTGAAATTGCGATTGACCTGACCGAAACTGGAACGCTCAAGACCTCAAAGCTGGCCAACATGGGGAGTAAAGGCAAAATTATCAGTGGCAGCAGTGGGAGTCTTCTGTCATCAGGTAGGTCATTTATCCTGTAGCTGGAGAGAATATGGTGGGAAGGGCCATGGCTGTGGCATAATGGGGAGCAGTCTGAAACTGCACTGCAGAATTGAAAGCCATTTCCCTTTAGCCTTTCTGTGTGTCCAGGTGTCAGTCTGTCTCTCAGCACGTTGCCCCACAAACAGCAGAGGCAGCAGCTTCCACCTCTCTCATTACCACTGCTCATTTCCTCTTTGGCCCTAGGATGTCATCTCCAACCTCTCACTTTCCAGCTGAGACCTGGTCTGACTTCACAGTTTCTACACTAATCACCCCTTGGCATCCCTAGACAGATGTATTTGTGAAGGAGCCGCCAGCCAGCAGTGAAGAAGCAGTCAACCAGTGCAGCCCACTAGGGAAACTGAGGCTGGGAACTGTTGTTGTCTCTCAGCAGTGCTGGGGCAGGGTGGCTTCTTCACAGAGTGTACACCTGTCCTGCCTTGCCTCTCTGTTGCTGGAATTTGCCTGGTGTTCCAGGCCCAAAAGAGCTATTCCCTAGCACTCTCCACCATACCAATATGGGGCACTAGAGGCTTCTTTTCGTGGCTTAGGGCACCTTTCTGTTTTGAGGTAGACATGATCTGTGAAAGAAACCCAAGAGAAATAGATACAGAGAAGAGCTGGAAAAAAAAAAGACCAGGAAAGAGGAGAAGGAAACTTGTCTATTTCCTTGAAACTCTTGTCAGTCTGGATGCGGCAAGCTGTGTGTAAACCAGTGCTAAATGTCACTCCAGGAGCAAAGCAAGTACTGGTAGTTTGTGAAGAGCTTGAAGTTGCTCAGGTGAGAAGCTCTTCAGGAGGACAGAGTTGCTGATATCACTGTAATTAACAATTCCAATCAACTAAATACCCTCTGCTAAGCATCAGTTATTAAAATTGATTGTGTTGAGATGTGTAACACCAGAGAATAACCTTCCCAGGCTTGGCAAGGGAAGAGTCATCTAAGAACACAAACACTTTGAAACTGAACTCACACCGGTGTAGCAGATCAGCTTTGTATTGCTGCATCCTTCATGTCTCTTAAAAACCACGCTTTCCTGCACAGAAAATGTCCAGCAAGGGGTTAAAATGTGCAGTGCTTACAGAGCTCCAGAGCAGCCTGCTGTGCAATTCCTTGCCTTGCCTGCAAACAGAGATGCCTTTCTGCTCCTTAGGTCCTTCTGTTGCAGTGTACAATCCACTGTCTGTGTCTCCCTTTGCTCAGGGAGTTGCAGGAGCCGAGCAGCTCCCACACCGGTGTTCTCGGGTTCTTGGAGCTCTTTGTTTGGCATTTTTTCCGTTTCTCCTGCTGGAAAGTAAATAACGTTAAGTACCCCAAGGAAGTTCTTAAGGTCTTTCCAAGATCTCAGTCTCCTGGGCTCCAGTCTCAAGTTTGTGAGAGTGAACGCGGTAGTAATCCTGTTTTCATGTTAATACTCTGACTTTTTGCCTTCCTGGAAAAAAACAATGGTGTCTAGTTCTGCTCTCACACTGGGAGAGCAGTAGCCATGTGAAAGCAGAAAATCAGGCTCACAAAAGCTTCTGTAGGGCCAGCACCTATCAGAGTTATGTGGATGGAAATCCCAAACTGGGAGGTACCCATACTTTTATTTCTGTATTTTTGTACTCCTAGCTCAAATGCCTTCTGGCTGAGCATGGAGTTTGCAAACTCAGCAGAATTGTGCTGGTGACAAGACCTGGGCAAAGTTTGTTGGCCAGGTGAGTGATTACTTCATGCCTGGGTAGGTGGATCTGTCTCCCTGGATGCCTACCTAGGACTGTGTGACCCTCTGTTTTGGTCAAGTTGCTGCTGGTGAGCCGGGTGAGCCTGGCTCTGGCCAAGTTCCTGAGTTCAGAGCTGCCTTTAGGTCCTGCCAGCTCTGAAGACAGGGCTTTCCCCAAAATCTTAAGGATAGTTGTTGGATGTGCTGCTGCTGTGTGTTCCAGCAGCTGCAAGCACGCTTGGGGAGGAAGAGAAATGTAGAGAGAGGATGTCTGGAGGAGGAGGACAGATTAACAGAGAACTGGAGACCATGGATGGTTCCACGCAGCCCCCCAGCCCCCCCTGCTCCAAGAGCCCCTTCCCAGGAGCCCGGCTGTCCGAGGTGACCCAGCCCTGTCCCACTGGAGGGGAGGGGGTACTCGCTGCCCATCCCGCTGGGCACAGCCACCGGCTCTGTCCCAGCCTTTGCGTTTCCTCCCATTGTGCCGAAGATTATCAGCGCACAGTCACAACAATGATGGGTTATCGCAGCACAGCCTGCGCGCCGGAGAGAATAGGTGCAAATGATTAAGTGGCCACAGTAGATTTCCAGGCTATAAATAGCCCGAGTGACTCGACGTCGCAAGGGTGGAACCAAATCTCTGTTTGCCCCCACTTTCCTACCGTTCTCCTTTTTTTCTTGGAGATTACTTGTAGCCATTTCCTCCCTCCCTCTCGCTCCTCCTCACCGAAGGGGCTGTCAGCGCCGTGAGGAGCACACTGGAGCTGGCGTATCTCCCGTGGGTTTGCAGAAAGGCTGCAAGGAAATATTTGTTCCTGCTTCCAGCTGTCACACTGTCTGGCCAAGATCCTGCTGTGCGGTGCAAGGCAGTCACTGCCCCACATCAGAGTCTCAGGGCACAGCAGCGGAGAAATGGAGTCTTACACAGGGACAGTGACTTCCCTGTGGTCACAGCGATTCAGAGGCAAAGCCTAAGCTCCTCCATGTTTCCCAGGCCCTCAGTCTTCAGTCTGTGTCCACCCCAGAGTTGGAAGTTTGATACCTCATGCTCCCAAGTGCATTTCTGACAAGCTCACTCTTTAGCTTTTGACCTCACTTTGGCTCTGAAGGGTTGAAGGCTGCTGAGGTGTAGCTGAAGAATGTTCTGCTCAGGATCTCTGGGCTATCCCTGGACACTGGAGCGAAATCAGGTTAGGTCTAAGGTGCATTTTTTTCTTCTGAGCAGTCTGTGCCCTAAGAGTTCTGAAGGTCTGTTGAGGAGCCCCATTATTTCTGGGTTAGCATTAGACTGAACTCAGCCCTCCTTCTTCATCTCAGCTGGCAGAGGAGAGACCACAAAGGAGCACCTCTGCTTTAGCTCTGCGGTCTCTGCCCCGCTGAGCCCTGTTCCTTCATCAGCAGCGGAGGTTTTCTGTGCAGGGGCCTGTTTACATTTGAAAATGCCACAACGGAGCCCAGTCAGCCGGTTCCCCGGCCCCCACCGCTCCATCCGGCAGCGCCGTGTCCCAGCTGGACTGCCTTGGCGGGTGTCGGAGCAGATGAACAGCACCCACACGGCCTCCGGCACAGCCCACGAGCACAAGGGCTCATGAAGACGAGCGGCCCACAGGATACGAGAGCGCATCCTGTGCCGAGCAGCTCCAGCTGGGCTCCCGCACGCCACGGAGGATTTCCTATTCGTCTGGCAGAGACGAGAGATAGCGGCCGTCCGAGATCGCTGGCTGTTGTGCGCTGACATCCTGGCGCGGTGAGTCAGCCCGGGCTCTGGCACGGAGCGAGCTTGGGGGGGACCTTCCCTCCCCATGCAGGGAACAGACCTCGACCAAAAGCCAGCGAGCTGGAGCCGCCAGCCGGATGTAGCGCGAAGGGTTTGCCATATTTAGATGTGTTTTTCCTGGAGTGGGAGACTCACAAAACGAGAAAGAGAAGAGTCGCTCGGAGGCTCTCGCCTTTCCATTGCACAACCACCTTGTTGCATCTCCTCTCCCTTCACAGTTGCTATCGCCAAGCCTTGGCTTTCTCTGCTCTTCAGCATCCCATCTACCCTCCCTGCATGTTTTTGTCCTCACTTTTATCCCTTTTCCAGGCTGACTCTGCTACAACGGGTGGAGGAATGGGAACAGACAGCAAGTCACCGATAGGGCTTTCCTTTCCAAAATAGTGGCTTGAATTGGTGGTCTCATCCCTTCAACAGGCTTTAAAGCAAAGCTTGTCTTGGAGCTGACCCGTGGTAGCCAGGAGCCCCTGCAGATCTGTACGGGCACAGCCCATTACCTTGGTCACATCCTTCCGGGTGGGACACTTGCTTTGTGTCCCCATCAACATCAACAAGACAGTCTTGACCTCATGAAGGGATCAGGATGCAGCCCGTTAGCACTAGTAAAGACGCTCAGCCATGAATTCTGCTGGAGAAGTGAGTTGGGCAGGAATGACCGCGTACCCCACCCTGTTCTTCCACGGTTGACGTTCTTCTGAATGTTGGTGGATGGAGAAATCCCCCAGAGAGGCCAGATGCGAAGAAGACAAGTAGAATATCTGCACACAAATAGGGTGTTCAGTGGGTGTTCAGGTCACCAAGATGTGCATCCCATCCTGAGTGCTGAGGAGGAGAGGGCACATATGATTTGAGATGACCCTGTGCTTGCTACCTGGTGAACTGGTGCAACCCTTCTTCCTTTAGAGACATCAAACAGTTCTGCAGAAACGTGTGTTAAAATGCAGAGTTTGGTAACTGCACAGCAAATGGGAAGGAGGCTGAATAATAATTGTCACAGAAAGGAGAATTACACGTTTTAGCAACATTTCTCCTGTTTATAGCATTAGGAATTAGCCTACTTGTGGGAGATAAAATACTGAGACAGCTTCCCAGTCAACCGTTTCTGTCGCAGTGGGAGTCTCTCATGTTAGGACTGACCTTTCAGGACTGATTTTTCTCTTTTGATGATCCCCTTTGGAAGTCACTGGGAAGCCATGACTCAGTGAGCATCATATTTAATAAGGCTGATTTAAGGTAGTATCTGCTTGGTTGGTTTGGTTTGTGCTGGTCTTTGATTATTTCTTTGGTTGTTTTTATGGTCTTTTGATTTATTCTGACATTTTTGGGTCAGTTGTGGCTGGGTTTAGAAGTGGGTCTGTGGTCACAGTCTTGCTTGAGGCTGGGTTAATACATATTTATAAATAAAAAGCCTCTAATGGAAGCTGTAGGCACCCCAGCAATACAAAGCACTGTTCTCTGCTCAAGCATCTCACATGGGTGTGATTGTCTTGACTGATCAAGTTTCCATTTGCTTTTCACCTGTGAGAAAAAAGCAGAGAATCCAACCCATAAAAAAACTAGTAACACACCTCAGAATAGTTCAGCTTTTAAATAAATTAAAAAGAAAAATGGCTAGAACAGAACAGTGCGTAAAGAAGAAACTTCAGGGAGGTCTGAAGAAAAAAGTCCTACAGTATGCCCAAGGGATCATCCAGGTTAGGTATGGCCAAGCTAAAATAATTCACCATCACAGGCCGTGAACTGAGTGCCCCATCCCCTGGCCTGTGAAGCCTCATTTCGCTAGAAGAGTTTGTTACACTAAGAAAATGTTAATTTGAGCTGGTTCATTAGTGCCAAGGACTGACCAACTTTGATTTCAGCAGTGAACCCCTTGCTTAACTCAGAATATGATGATGCTTTTCCAGATCTCCCCCAGTTCCTTTGCTTTCTGGAGGGGGGTGAAAAAAGGCAGCAAAACATGCACTTAGGGACGCTGCCACCTACATCGTCAGCATTAAGACCAGCATAGTTCTCACCTGGGGTGAGCACAGCTGGAGCAGATGCTGTGAACTGTCTGTGCTTGATTTGGGTCCCTACCAGCTCAGCCAGAAGTTGTTCGTTTCCTGCTTGTTGGCACACCCGGAGTCAGCGCAGGCATCTGGCCAGGGTTTAGGCTATTCAGATGCTCTTAAATGTTTCAGCATCTATGTAGCTGCTGTGGCAACCCACGGAGCAAAAACTAACAGCTTTTAAAAATAAATCCGAGGCTGGTGTGAAGGTAGGGAGGAGAGAGAGGAAGGGGAAGAGCAGTTGAAAGGAAAACGTAGGTCATTTGTTGTAAAAGAAAAAAAAGTTGTCATAAAAGAAAAAAAAAGTTACTTGAACATCTCTCATATGGTTGAAACATCTGCTGGAATCATGAGCAACATTTTACTGGGACTCAGCAGTTTTTTGGCAATTGAATGAAGAAATTCAGTGGTTCAGCTTTAGCTAGGAACTGCTCTCCAGGGTTACCAGTAAGAATTACTAAATGCTAGAGAGGGCTTTCCCTGCCAGTGTAAATATGAGCCTCCTCTAGAAGATCCCATCAAGTTCTTGCAGCACAGATGTGTTTGCAGAATTGAATTTTGTTGCTTTGTGAGGGCAAACCCAGATGAAATGAGGATGACTACAGCAACTAAACAAACACCTTACCGTGAGGTTATCCTCCTTTGTCTGATGATGCTCAGCCTGGCTGACCTTCAGAGAGCCCTTTTTCCACCTCCCCCTCTCCAGGACAGCCCAATAAAAGGCGTAACAAAGCACGGTGGCATTTCGCAGGATAGGTGCCTGTCTTCCTGTATCGAGACTGCAGAAAGTATTAGTCAAAAAGATCTGTGAGATTCTGTGCTCCCCCTGGACCAATGCAGACATTGTTTGCCTCAATTCTCTTTCAGTTTAACAGTCCGCTGGAATAGTAGCAATGAAAGAGAAGCTGAAAGCACAAATTTTACTCTGTTTTGCTGACAGAACCTGTTCTCAGGTTCCTTCCAGAGCTCTGAAATAGCAGCGACATTTCCATCTCCCTCAGGCTGAGAGTTTTCACTGTGCGCTTGGACACCAAGGTGCAAATGTATCTCGAAGCCCCCTCTCACCCCATCCTACAGGTGCACAGAAGATTCCGTGTAGCATCCTGTTGTATCTGACTCCTGCAGATAATAAAAGTCTGCCTTCTGTGTGCAGTTGCTCTAGAGGGGTAGGAGAGGACAGACATGGGATGCTACCACTGAAGCCACCACAGATACCAGAACTCAGCTTTCCATAAACCTAAGGTGGATGCTTTGAACTACAGCAGTAGATGAATAACTGCCAATAATATGAGTGAAAAGCATATAAAGATGGTGTTTACCCCTTCCTGAGCTTGCTTTTCATCTCACAGTGCGGTCATAGCCTTCAAGTCCTTACTCTGTCATGAAACGATGCCCTTAGTGATTGAAGGGAACTTGTGACTTCTCTCTAAACTCATTCCTGAGCCCAGAGTTGTAGTAAACAGGGCAAATGCTAAGCACATCCTGAAAAATCAGCTGCTCGAGTACCCAAAAATGGATGCAGCCAATGGTGCCCCTTCTTTGAGAGGCTAGATTTTGGATAACAGGTGACACACCATCCCAAACCAAAATTAAAATTGGGACCCCCATCAATAAGTTCCCCTAAAGAGATGAAATTACAGGTGCTGTTGTGACACATAAGCAGGAGTCTGAGTTAATGTGTGGACTTACTTCAGTGGAAGTTGCTGGGTAATTGCCACTTGAAATGTCAAGTCTTTTAGACATCTAGTTTAAATACCTTGACCTACGTCTTCACAAGAAACAGCTGCTATCTCAGAAGGACCTATGAGTTACTGTTGTTTCGGTGGGTTTTACAGGAATCTTGCTGGGTAATTTTGTTCCATTACATTTTTTCATTAACGGGCAGTGTAAGTGGATTAAATTAAATGTTTGCTGCTAGGATAATTGCAGCTCTTAAGTAGGCTGTATTGTCAAATGGTTTCTACTAGGCTTAATTTCCCAAAAATGTATCTCCAGGGCTTCCTAAATTGTCCTGTTATTTGCCATTGGGAACTTTCATGGGAATCGTGTGTCTTTTTTTTTCCTAGGATCTTTACATGAATAATTGTGTTGCTTTTATTTTTCTGGATAATGGTTACAAAAAAGTCTTTGTGTGTCCCACTTTCCAATCTCTGTCTGTTAGCTTAAGCATCAAGAATTTGCCGTAAACAAACATGACTGGGTAACACCTGCTTCATGTCGTGGTCTAATTTCTTTCTGGAAGGACTGCAACCAGGCTTTGGTAAAATGACAAGCCCTCCAGATGTGTATTCTGCCACCAGCTGACCTGGTGAAATCATTGTTTATTGACAGGTTCCCAAGAGTCAGATAGTTCTCAGTCCGCCAAGAAGGACATGCTGGCTGCGCTGAAATCCAGGCAAGAAGCTTTGGAAGAGACACTACGCCAACGCCTGGAAGAGCTCAAGAAGCTCTGTCTTCGAGAAGCGGTAGGCAACGGGCGTTTTATAACCTTCACATTTTGTTCCTTGTGCTGTTATGACATGCGCAGTGCTTGGAGGTGGTGTGGAGCCAGGAGAAGAGGCTCCTTCCATAGTCACCTCGTGCAAAGCCCATTGTACAGAGGCCTCGGGAAGGCCCACCTGTTTCCACTCCGGATTGCAATGTTCCAGGACATTCTCCTCCCAGAGAAGGGGACCCCATGTCAGCTGGATGTCCAGTTGACTTGGGGCTTGGGGAGTGGTCAGCATCCGTGTCTGCTGTTTGAGTTTAAGATGCATTGAGCCAGGCTTCTTACTGACTTTGGTGGGAATATGCAGCCGGCTAAATGGCACAGGAAAGCTGTCCTGCGTACTAGTAGTTCTCAACTGCTTTTGACTTCATTAGCAAAAAAAACCACCTCAGGCTGATACACTTTCTTCTGGGAGCAGGCTTGACTTTAAGCGTTTCTCTTCTCCCGGCACATCCTTACGTACAGCACACAAGGTCTTGTGGGTTCCGTGTAGACTCCCTTCATCGAGCAAGCTCTGGCACTGCTGGAGAGGAGTGGCAGGGTGGTGACAGACCATCCCAGGGCATGCAGGGCAGCTCAGGAACTCAGGGAAGAGTCCAACAGAGAGCTACAAGAATGATCAAGGGACTTGAACATCTCTCATATGAGGAAAGACTGAGAGAACTGGGGCTGTTTAGTCTTGAAAAGAGAAATCTGAGAGGGGACCTTATGAGTGTATATAAATACCTGAGGAGTGAGGGTCAAGAGGAAGGTGCTGGTCTTTTCACAGTGGTGCCCAGTAGTAGAACAAGAAATAATGGATTTAAGTTAGAACATAGGGAGTTCCACCTCAGCATGAGGAGAAACTTCTTTCCTGTGAGGGTGACGGAGCCCTGGCACAGGCTGCCCAGAGAGGGGGTGGAGTCTCCTTCTCTGGAGAATTTCAAAACCCACCTGGACGAGTTCCTGTGTGGCTGCCCTAGGGGATCCTGCTCTGGCAGGGGGGGTGGACTGGATGATCTTTTGAGGTCCCTTCCAACCCTGAACATACTATGATTTTATGATTCTGTGATCCCACAGCCTTCCCACTCACTTGCCAGTTCATTCTTGGAGTACACGGGAGGCCAGTTCAGAGATCAATTTAATGTTTAGGGAAATCACAGCCCTGCTACAGATGTGTGTGGAGATTAGCAGCAGCATATACTTGAGTCATTCAGCAATTCTTTTTTGTTTACTAGGCCTGCAAATCTGAATTTAACAACAAATCGTGATGTTTAACACAACAGGAAGCTGGCTGCAGACAGTGGCACCGAGACCTTCCAGTTGTTGCTTAATATTTGATGTGTATCTCCCTCAACAAAAACAGGGAAAATAGGTCACTGATTCAGCACTCAGTGCAGTTTGTTTAAATTGATGTAGAGTTTTAACGCCAACAGGAATAAGTTGTGGAACATACCTCTCGACAAAGAACATCAGCAGAAACCTCTGCGGCGCTGTCCTTTACTCCATGCGATCAGTCCTTTCGCACCTGGGAAGTCCTGGTTGACTTCAGCAAATTATTGATAAAGGTTGCAGGACCAGTTCCAGGCTCGTTAGATCCATGAAGTACAGAGCTTAGGTCATCTGCAGGAAGTAGGCACGTGCTCTTCAGGGGGTGGAGGGGGGCGCTGATAGAGGTTTCTCCTTGCCCTGGAGGAATTTGCCGCCCCAAGCCGTGCCTGTGCCTGTGCTGTAGGAGCTCACAGCCCAGCGCCTTCGCTTTAACCCCAGCCCTGGCTGCGGTGCAGCCTCAAGCACTTTGCAACCAACTGGGATGCAGGCAAAACCACGGAGCCGGTGGGAAGGAACAGTATCTCCTTAATGTGCTGCAGCAAGCCTGGCCAGAGCCCATCTGTCAGCACCTTAAGAGCTGGTAGAAAAGCGTTCGTGCTTTCTGCCGATGATCTGAGAGAGGCCATTGAGGGACGCTTGGAATCTGACCCCATCTCACAACCCTAAAGCTCATCCATCAGCAGCCTGTAGTTGGAAGTGCTTCCTCTGAGGCTGCCCTTCATCCTTTCTGCTTTGGCATGGGAATGGCAAACCAGAGAGAGAAGGCAGCAAACCAGGAGATAAAAAAGGGTTAAAAGTGGGGGCATAATCAAATAAGCATGGCCAGAGCCATTCCTCACAGTGGCATCAGGTTACTTTGGGACATCACTACTCCAGTTACTTATTAATTTAGATTACATTTCAGGACCGTGCCTGTGAATACTTTGCAGCTTATGAAGGCAGCATGGTAACCCACATTAATTTTGTCCTGCTCCAATCTTGGGCATTTTACAGAAGATATTAACTCTTTCCTCACTACCCTGCTTCATAGGAAGTTAGGGGTTGTGAAGAAAATATCCTTATTTCCCTTAGGAAGGGATACAGGAATCTGTGTCTTGATGCAGTGCTTAGAGCCACGTCTCGCTAGAAGGAACACATTTTGGAAGAAAAGCTGAAATAACCCCACAGGGCTGGAGCAGAACGGGGCTCTGAGACATTGCAGGAGTGCCTCTTGCAAAAAGGGAGCTCTACACATTGTGGGTACAGAGCTGTGCTGCAAACCTCTTTTGCTGGGAATTGCTTAAAGGGAAGCTTTGGAAAGGCCAGCTCCTTGTTTCCTAGTGACCTGAAAAGAGTAGGAAGAAAAAACCCCATTTGGGGCCCGGCTGCGCACTCGCATTGAGGTCAGCTGCTGCTCTTTGGGATTCAGATGATTTAGGTTACTCTGCCAGCTGGATCCTCTCGAGGCTGATGCTAGGGAACACAAAAGCCTTTTGTCTGTCCTGGGGAGACTTGGTGAGCACAAGGAGTGGGGCTGTGCTCCTAGCGAGGCTCCTGCCTTTTTCTGTAGGCATTTGAATGTCTTCAATGCAGATATGTGTGGCTGTATTGTGTGGTCCAGGGGGGAAAACCCACGGCATTAACATCAGTAGTGGTGCTCACTGCTTCCTGTGTTCCAGATATTCCTCATTTCTGTGGGGTTTGCTGCAGATTTTGAACAAATCTTTGCAAATAAACCCATCAGTCTGACAAAGCATCGTCTAATACCACTCCAGAGCTGCCCATGACATCACTGGGGTTTGGAAGGGGCTCTGATACATGAAGTGTTATCAGACAGGTAATGAGGTACCAGGCACTGCTTTTAGTGACCATTTTCACTGCATTCCTCTCAGACTCATCATGAATCAGGTGGGAATGTTTTTTCTGGGCAGGTCATAACCTGCACGGCTGTTACCAGTGGGGCTTTCTGACTCAGCAGACCTGCACGCTGCATGAAGGCACTGGGATCTGCTCCCCCTCTCCACTCTCAGAAGCAGCTCAGCAGAGAGAAGCTCTTCTTTCCTGCTCACCCTGCAGACCTACCCTGGGCAGGCTGCGAAAGTCTGTGTGCAAACAGGTTAAAAAAAATGCTCCCCACCCTCAGTGTTCGGTTCCGGGAGGAGTTCAAAGGGCTGGGTGCTCTCCTGTGTGTTTATCGGCTGGGGGGGTGTGGGCTGTG